CGCCAAAAGACGATTTACACAAAGCATTTAAGAATGAAGATTTAAATAAGATAATTGAAGAGGTGATGAAAGTGGTATTATATTTTATTCTGGAATAGATGTTTTAATTATTTTTTTTTTCGACGTAGATCTTGAAAAAAGGAGAACTTCAAGTTAGCGATAAAGAACGGTCACACCAAATTGACAACACTTACCGTGAAATTGCTACGATTGTTGCAGAAAAATGTGTAAATCCAGAGACCAAGCGACCTTATACGGTTACTATGATTGAAAAAGCGATGGGAGAAATACATTTTTCAGTAAATGTGAACAAAAGCACTAAATCACAGGTAGAGAATATAATTACTTTGATGTTAATAGCGGAGTGGCACATTCAGTATATTTGCATAATTATGAATTAGGCATTAGAAGTGATCAAGCAGCTTCAAGAGAAAAAGGCTATTCCTATTGCACGTGCTCAAATGCGTTTAAGAGTCATAATGCCAAATTCTAAAGAAGCCAAAAAAGTTAAGGAAAGACTGACACCTCTGATTACACAAATCGAGGATGAAAATTGGGGCAATGAATGTGAATTGGTGAGTGGATTGAATCATGGATGGATTTATATCAAACATAATTGATTTATATATTTTAATTTGATATGGTTAGATATTCTTGATCGATCCTGGACAGTATCGAGTGATTGTTGAGATACTGGAAAAAGATACAAAAGGAAGAGGACAAATAGAGTTATTATCTTTAAACGATACAAGTGAGGGGGATATAAAATTTTGAAATGTAACAACTAGTAAACATTTAGGTTTAATTAAATTAATTGATTAAAGTCATCTATCAACTCTGAATGCATTGGAATCTATTTTGCCTAATAAAACCTCACCAAATGTGCTCGCAACAACCTAAATTATCTCATTTTTAATAAGGTGGCGATATATTTAACTGATTAATTTTGTATATTTTTACAACTATATTAATAAACTTTAAGATTTCACCTTTAGATATATAGTAATAATTTAAATATTTTTTATCCAAAATATTATATAAATAAACTTACTTTAATTTAAAATATTACAATCTAATATATACTTAAATAATCTTTTTTGAAATTTAAACAAAAAGTTTTGAAATATTTGAATAGTTAATTAATTCTTAAGGATTTAAGTTCTAAGTATAAACTAATATATATACATTTGCTTCCAAAAGTTTGAGTCCACTTACTATGTTTTTATTATAAATTTCAACTTTGACAATTTTTAAATCCTTAACT